ATAGAAATCTACCATGATAACTGCGCCATTTGAGTTTACAAAAAAGAGGTTTTCCATTGAAAATACATTAGATTTAGTCATAGAAAAAGCACAGTAACAAAATTGACTGGTAAAAACTTTAATAATTAAGCTTATTTTATTTTGTTAATTTCACCAAATTATATTGACAATTTGTAATCCCTTGACATGGTGTTTATCATGCAAACTATTATATAATATATAATGAATCATAACAGTATAAACTCGTGGAATTGAATAACTTTATGGGTTAGAAATTTTCTAGGCTAAAACGGATAATCCAATCCTAATCCCCTCTTCACAGTTTTATAGCCCCAACTTCTCGGTTTGTAAAAATATTTTATTTGGTATAGAAATCTACCATGATAACTGCGCCATTTGAGTTTACAAAAAAGAGGTTTTCCATTGAAAATACATTAGATTTAGTCATAGAAAAAGCACAGTAACAAAATTGACTGGTAAAAACTTTAATAATTCCTAAACTAATCATGATAAAATTAATCTATTTAAAGCCAATTTAAAGTATATGATCCTGATTATTCACCCGAAGACAGGACATTTCTAGAGCAATTATTAGTGTATAAAAATGTATTTTCTGTTCAGGAAAAACTATACTAGATAACATTAATTCAATGACTGGAATTAAAAGATTATTAAAAATAAGCGAATACATATTTCAGGAATTTTTTATTATTATTGAATTTGTATTTTTAATTTAAGAAACTAATGTCTAATAAATAATTTTGTATAAAATATTCAATTTCACGAGTGTATGTTCATATGCGTTTGTGACACCCTTTCCACTCACAGACATACTGTACTCCCTTTCCCTTTAATTTAGTTTCTTAGCGTTTGTATCATTCAAGTGATGACCACTTCCTCGCGAGTGGTGTCCATCAATAGGTTCTTCGTTTTGATCGCCATTTGATTGAATAGTGAAACAAATACTCAAACTTTTGGTGTCTTTTAAAGCATTGATTTGTTTCGTGAAATCGTTTTCATAAATATTTTCATTAAATTTATGCAAAAAATTAATATATTTTTCGTGAGTTTTGGAAATCAATTGAAATCTCAATAAATCTGTTGACAAACAATTGATTTGACGTTTCAATGCATTCACTAATGAATACAACTCTTCGCGACTTAATTGCGATAAATCCGCAAAAGTTTCACTNATAAATCTGTTGACAAACAATTGATTTGACGTTTCAATGCATTCACTAATGAATACAACTCTTCGCGACTTAATTGCGATAAATCCGCAAAAGTTTCACTCATTTTGAGCACTAATTTAATTGCAATTAAAACACAATTTATGTCAAAAATAACACAAACTTTAAACACAATTCAAATGACAAATGAATGCAAAACATAAACAAATCAAAAGTCAATGCCTTTCATACAAAACGTCTGCAAAAATGTGAGAAAAATTGTTGTGAAAACTGTTAATCAAATCAGATTTAATTAGTTAAACAATTTATAATTAATAGTTTATGTCAAATAAATTTAAAGGATATAATTTCAATACAATGTTTGCAAAATAAAATAAAACTTATAATTAAGAATTTTTAATTAAAATTATTAACCTGTAATAAAAATGATCAATGATAATTTAATGAATTTCAATATGTATAACTATTACAGTAAATACAATTAAATACAAACATATAGTAAATAGCATTAATTGAAAATCATTACAATTTATAACACAATTCATAAACCAATCACTTCTTCGGTCTCTTCGCACGTCTGTCGATAAGATTGCATTCATTTGCCACACGTTTGGACACACTTTGAGAGCTCATTGAGACCTCAGTCACCACTTTATGAGTCCTAAACATATGTCTCTTAAGAGAGGGCCCTTTCTCGCACCGGTACTCGCATTCAGGCCAATGGCACACAAACCTACCGATGCGTCCATTGTGTCTCTTCTCGTGATCCTTGAGGTAATCGCTTCGTATGAACTCCTTCTCACATCCCGGCCAATGGCACCGGTATATAGTCTCTCGCGTATGTGAATTCATGTGTAGATCCAAAGTGTATTTACTGGTGAATGATAGGTCACACGCCGGCCACTGGCACCGGTGTCTAAGGGAGGGGTCGTGGTTGGGGAGGTGTATACCCAGGGATTGGGCCGTTGAGAAGGTGTGCCCGCATTCGTCGCATACAAATGGCTTCGAGTGCGACAACTCGTGGGTCTTCATTGAGTCCTTACTTTTAGTCTTATAGTGACAGTCAGTGTACGAGCACTCGAGCCATGGTATGTCGGGAAAGGCGTCGGGATGTAGTCGTAGCCGATGTCGGGATAACTCTTTCTTGTGAAAAACCTTCTGTTGACAGCCATTGAGTCCACACATGACTGGTCCCGATCTACTACTATGCGAATCAGATCCCTGTCCACCTCTGTTGGAGTCAATCCCTTTGCAACGAGTCGTATGTCTAATCAAACTTCGCTTGAATTTAGTCGTAAACTGACAGCCATTGAGTCCACACTTGAATAGTCTGTCCATTGAGTGAATCAATTCATTGATTATTAATTGCTTATCAAAAACACCACGAAATACATACCGTCCACTCATCACATGTTTTGTGACACTTTTCTTGGTTTTTGTTTTATTCAAGTGATGATCACTTCTTCGGGAGTCGTGTTCATCAACTGTGTCTTCATTTTCATCACTTACTTCGTGTCCATCGCTTCCATAATCTTCACAATCACTCGACTCTTCATTCTTGTGGTCAACCCTTCCATCAACACTGTGTCCATCGATGACTGTCTGTCCATCAGTTGATCCGCAAGTGATATGACTTTGTGTGCCATTAGTTGACACAAAACCTCCGATTTTTTGTATTAAATCACAAGAAATTTGTTTAATATTCAGTAAATCTGTTAAATATTTTCCACAACTCTTTGACAACACTTTATATTTCAATAAATCTGTTTTCAAGCAATTATTTTCACGTTTTAATTCATTGATCATTGAATACAACTCTTCGCGACTTAATTGCGATAAATTGGCAAAAGTTTGACTCATTTCTCGCACTAATTTAATTGCAATTAAAACACAATTTATTCCCAAAAACTAAACAAACCTTTCAATGAAAACCAAAACAAAACACAAATCACGTGATAAGCACACTATGAGTGCGCCAAATATAAACACATAGAAAATAAATCCATTTGAAATGAATGCAAACAATGTTTATGTGAAATGCTAATCAATGAATGAGTAATAATTAGTGCATTACTTAACTGTGTTTTATAAATAGTTCCAAAAATGCATAAAATGAATACAATTTAATAGCGAAACCGTTAATTGAAAAGTATTTATAAGACATTTCATAAACCAATCACTTCTTCGGTCTCTTCACACGTCTGTCCATAAGATTGCATTCATTTGTCTTACGTTTGGACACGACTTGAGAGCACTGGTCGTCGGATACCATCCCATGTGTACGTAAGACATGTCTCTCTCTCGCGTCTTTCTTGTTGGTCCTATACCCACATCCAGGCCATTGACACCCATAAGTACCCACAGCTATACCTCTGTGTCTTTTCTGGTGATCATAGAATCGTTGCTTCGTTGCGAATGATTTGTCACATCCGGACCATTGGCACCGGTAGACAGTCTCACGCGTGTGTGTATTCATGTGATCCTTCAAACATTCATCATTGGCTAACCATTTGTCGCATTCAGGCCATTGGCACCGGACTCTTAGGGAGCCGTCGTGTTTGGATTGGTGTACGCGAAGGGCATGCATATCTCGGACCGTATGTCCGCATTCATGGCATACAAACGGCTTCGTGTGCGACAACTCGTGGGTCTTCATTGAGTGCTTATATTTAGTCCTAAACTGACAGCCCGTATGCGGGCACTCAATGAACGGTATGTCGGGAAAGGCGTCGGGATGTCGTGTCAGCTGGTGTTCCCTCAAATGAGTGCTTGTTTTATACGCTTGTCGACAGTCACTGATCGCACACTTAAACTGCCGTTCCTTTGAGTGTGTCGTTTGATGTCTTATGAGATACCTTTCCACACCCGTCGCGTACTCACACCCGTCCCAATCGCACCGGTAGGTCTTGTCGTGAACTATGAGTTTATGGGTCCGAAGATCTCTAAGAGTTTTAGAAGTTACAGAACATTCCTCCCAATCGCACCGGTAGGCTAGGGACGGGTTGTGTGTATTTTGGTGTGCCTTTAGTTGTGATTTAGTTTTAAACGCTTTCTGACAGTCATTGGTCCCACACCTGAACTGCCGTTCCGTTGAGTGAATCACTTGATGTTTATTCAGCAATTCTTTCCCATAAGTCGTGTACTCACACCCGTCCCAATCGCACCGGTAGTTAACGGTTGGGTTGTGGCTCTGTTTATGTCTATTTAGGTGTCCTTTAGTCGTAAACCTCTTCCCGCAGTCCTCGTAATCGCAGACATACTGTGCTCTCCTTGGCTTTGACTTCATTTTCTTAGCATTGGTTTCATTCAAAGTTTTATCACTTCCTCTCGAGTCTTCACTTTCATTCGAGTCTTCGTTGTTTTCATCAACACTTCCACCGATTGTCTCATTATTTAATTCATTATTCACTTCCGATTTAATGACCACTTCTTCGACAGTCCACTGGTTTCCAACACTTCTCTCAATGTCTTCGCAATCAGTGGTCTGTTGTCTCGTCTGATCACCACTTCTTCGATGGCAAACAATTTGTGGCAAAACTTGTGACAAATATGTGAAACCCTTTTGTTTGTCATATGAATGGTTGACACAAACGTATGACTGGTTGTCGTGAATGGCATTCAATGAAAGGATTTCTTTTCGCAACTCATTATCAAAATGACCGCAAATTTGTGTCAAATCAGAGAAAAGTGCGAAATATTTGTTGAATGGTTGACACAAACGTATGACTGGTTGTCGTGAATGGCATTCAATGAAAGGATTTCTTTTCGCAACTCATTATCAAAATGACCGCAAATTTGTGTCAAATCAGAGAAAAGTGCGAAATATTTGCGGAATTTTGCCAAAAGTTGCGAACATTTCGTCAAATCTGTTGACAAACAATTGATTTGACGTTTCAATGCATTCACTAATGAATACAACTCTTCGCCACTTAAATGAGACAACGATTCAAAAGTTTGACTCATTTCTCACAAATAAACACAAATTTAATTGCAATTAAAACACAATTTATTGACAAAACACCGAAACTTACAAATGAAATAACAGTTCACTGCAAACCATAACACAAATCACGTGATAAGCACACTATGAGTGCGCCAAATATAAACGCATAGAAATATAGCAATTATTATATTGTTTATTGATTTTAATTAAACTAATATTAATATAATACAGTACTGTATGTTAATCACAAGTATAATACTTTAATAATGTTTATATGTTTTCGCGCTTTGTTTGCGTTAACAATAAATCAGTCATTAGTTTGAAGTTTGAGTTAACGTTGGGTTCAATGAAATTGCCATCAATTGTCTCGTGTTTAACATTCACTGCAAACATAAAACACACAAACATTTTAATTATTAAATATTTTAATATAAAATTTTAAATACCATTAGTTTTGTCATCAAATCCGCGATCAATATCGCAATCATTTGATTCACTTATCTCTGCATTCATTGCATTCAAAGTCTCTTTACTTCCAACGCCTTCAACGCAGAGATAGTTGTCTTCATAATAGGCATCGTTTGAGTCAACACTTGCATCCATTGTCTGCGTGTCTGTCGTATGTCTATTCATATGCATATTCAATGCATTTTGACTTTTAAACCATTTATCGCAGTCTTTCCATTGGCAGCGAACTATAGCTGGCTTTCCGTGTCGTTTGAAATGTGTAGTCATATCACCCTTAAGTTTGCACCGAAACAGGCAGTCCTTACGCTGGCATTCAATCCATGGTATGTCCGGGAAGTTATGGGGATGTCGTCTCAACTGGTGTTGAATTAATGAGAATTTCAAGTAAAATGTTTGTTTGCATTCATTGAGTGAACATTTGAACTGATTTTCCTCTGAAAGTATGACCGCAGACACATCGGCCGATAGCTCCCTTTCCCTCACCGGACTCTGTCTTCTGGTGTGTATTCTCTTCACGTGTCTAATCATAGATCTCTTATTGAGTATTGTTTTCTTATAATCACTTCCGTGTCCACACTTTCGTGTGTCAGTTGTCTTACAAGTCTTCATATGTCTAATCAAACTATGTTTAAACTTAGTCTTAAACTGACAGCCCGTGTGTCGGCATTCATATGCCGTACAAGAGCTCGAATGTACTCTTTTCTGGTGACAATTCATATCATTATTGCGTTTAGTTTTATACTGACAGCCAGTATATCGACACCTAATCCATGGTATGCTCGGGAAGTCATTGGGATGTCGTCTCATCTCATGTCGACTCAAAGATGTCTTATAACTAAAAGTCTGTTCACATCCTTTGACTGAACACTCGTATAGTCTGTCCATTGAGTGAATCAATCGATTGATTATTAATTGCTTATCAAAAACACCACGAAATACATACCGTCCACTCATCGCATGTTTTATCGCACTTTTCTTAATATTTGTTTCATTCAAGTGATGATCACTTCCTCGTGAGTCATGTCCATCAATCGAGTCTTCATTATCATCATTCACTTGGTGTCCATCGCTTCTAAAGTCTTCACAATCACCCGACTCTTGATTCTTGTGGTCAACACTTGTCCGCAAAACTACTGATAAATGAAATGAAAATCAAATGAATTGTAAATAAAATAATTGTTTTATTCATTGAAAAGCCATTCATTTGATTACCATTTGATTCACGAGTTGTGACAACACTTCCACCGGTGAGTGTCTGTCCATCAGTTGATCCGCAAGTGATATGACTTTGTGTGCCATTAGTTGACACAAAACCTCCGATTTTTTGTATTAAATCACAAGAAATTTGTTTAATATTCAGTAAATCTGTTAAATATTTTCCACAACTCTTTGACAGCAATTCATATCTCAATAAATCTGTTTTCAAACAATTATTTTCACGTTTTAATCCGTTTACCAATGAATATAACTCTTCGCGACTTAATTGCGATAAATCCGCAAAAGTTTCACTCATTTTCAGTACTAATTGTGTGTTAAATACAATTAAATGACAATTAATCCACAGAAACACACGCTTTTGACAATTAGACTCTTAATACCTTTAAAACTGTGGGAAATAGATAAACAAATAACACGTGATTTGCACGCTTTGGTTGATTCAACCAAAACGCCTATTAATAAAAATCAATACTATTTAAATCGCGAAGTAATGTAAGGTTTCGTAATTAAAATAAATTGTTTCATTCAAATCAAGTAATTAAATGTAATTTAAATTACAAAACAATTTTTACAGTTTAATTATCTGTTTGAGTAATAAATGGGTCATTAGTTATGGTCTGAATTACAGTTTGTTTTGCGGTTATATTCGCATGAATTTCTATCAATCGACTCGTTATTATTACAATTATTGTTTAATTAAATGATATTATCATCAAATAGCTCGTGGTTTACATACAATACAAATGAAAACATTAAAACATTATTAATGTATATAAAAACATGAGTTAATTGGAGGCATAAATATAGCCATTAATATAAGACATGAAAATCAATTTGTTTATAGATTTTGTATCCATCGGTAAACTTCTGGTGAGGTTTGCGGTAATAAATGAGTCATTAGTCTCTCATTTGAATGAACGTTGGGCTCAATGATAGTGTCGATCGACACGTGTCTCGCATTTACTGCTATTATAACAAAAC